ATATCGTGCCCGTGAAAGATTGCAAAAGGAGAGGCAAGAAATCATTTCTCAGATTATCAAGAACTGCAACGCTTTGGTTCTTACGATAACTTTTATCATTGAGCTAAAAGTTTATGGTCACCTGCGAACTTTAACATTATTTGTGAGCATTATACGCACATATATATACATATATATTGAATCAGAACTCGATTACCACATTTCAAGATGCCTCATTGAGAACGTATCACTGTATGTATCAGATAGATTAGAAAACTTGTGACAATTTGAAGCACTTAGAACTGTCATAATCTAAAAGTTTTAAGAGTATATCATTTATTGATAACAACTATTCCAAAAGCCATCTCTCAATGATTATCAAGAAAATTAGATATTTTATTATGAGGGATTAGGTAATTACTTTTGATTATGTTTATAGAAAAATAAATGATGTGCTAATCTCATGACTCACCGGACATTACATGATAATTTTGATATTTCTATTTTTGATAATTTGCCCTTGATTGAAAAAATTTTTGTGGTTTTAAACATGACTTGATCTTTGTTTTCTTGCATTGTTTTTCTATGACCTTGTATTAAAAAAAAATTCCAAGAATATCAATAATCAATTATGAGGTTCTTGCTAAGTATCATAATCATTTCTTCAATAATTCTATATTTCCCTCTAATGTTCACATCTTCGTAAAGTTCAAACCCTATGTTTAGATAGAGAGAAAAATAGGGAGGAAAGAAAATTAGGAGAAGAAAAACTCTTGAAAATAATAATTTATTTTTTGAAAATTTCCTTCTTAATTTTAATTATAGAAAACACAACTTTTAATCCCTCAAGTTTATTTCAATTATTGATTTAGTCTCTTATGTTTAATTTTTATTGATTTAGTCCCTTAAGTTTACTTCAACTATTAAGTTAGTCCTTATTATTTAAAAAGTAAGTTGCACTACTAAACTTTGTTGACATGAATAATAGAATACTAATGACATTCATGTAGATTAATGAAAAAAAAGTATAATTATTTATGGAAAGAAAATAGTTTTTTTTTAATTTTTAAAAACAAAAGAATAAAACATAGTGTAATGGATTTTATGTACAAAAATTAAACTAATTTGAAGGTTAATTTGTTCTCATTTAACTATATATACATGCAAGATTATCAACATATGTTATATGTTATATTATTTTTAAAGTCAATTTATGTTTTAAAGCTTAAATGACTCACATTCTAATGTAAACAAATATAAAGGACCAAATCAATAAAAATTAAACTTGAAAGATCAAGTCAATAATTGAGGCAAATTTAAGGGACTAAATAGTCCTTTTAATTATTATAAATATTTTAACAATTGAATTCTCTCAATCTAACGGATGTTAAAAAAACTAATTAGTTAATTATTCAAGAATGAATCTACATTATTTTAATAAATATAAAGAAGATAAATATTTTAATAATTTTATTTTATAAATAATTTTTATAGATAATTATACTTCTAAAAGTTTAAGAGTTATCAACTGTATTATTAATCTATTTTTATCACTTTGTTGAAGTTAATATATACATATATATATATATATATATATATTTAAAAGATATATGTTTAAAATTTAAGATAATCATGATTTAGTCTCTTTTAATTTTTCTCGATAAACATCTTAATTTTTGAAAGTGTTCAAAATTATTAAAAAAATATTTCCTGGGTTTACATTTTTTTTAAGTTATTTCTTTAAATTTTAATGCCATTTTTTGGTGTAATTTCAATATGCCATCCTTCATTTCTTTTTGTGTTCACTCGTTACATCAAATAATATCATAAAAACTTGGAAGTAATCACTATTTATACTTTTCATTATTTTATTAAATTTTAAAATTTTTATACACTTTTGGAAACAAAAAATAAATTTACAATTTAATATCTTATGAATATCATTTAAGATAATTTGATTTAAGTTCTTCAATCAGTTAAACCACGTCTTTTAATAAAAAAAATTTTAATTTCAATGCTATTATTAAAGTTCTCTCTCTGTTTTTTTTTTTTTTTTGAACGAGTATTAAAGTTCTCTCTCATGGGGGTCAATTTTTGCAAGCATTCTATATATTTTATTTTCACAAAGGGATATAAATAAATTAATAATACTAGCCCATAACTCTTAAAATTTTAGAAGTATAATTATCTATAACGAAAAAATATTTATACAATAAAATTTATTGAAATATCTATCTTCTTTATCAGATTTATTAAAATAATGTTAAAAAAATTGAATCGCACCCAACTAATCATTTATTTAAAATGTTAATAATAATTATTGAATCTACATAATTATATGATTTTTGGTTTATCCGATGGATAATAGTTTACTAAATTTATCTTTATTTATCCAAATTTATTTTATCTCAAAGGCCAAAGCTTCTTTATATATATATATATAAGAGGATACTTTGACTCTAAAGTCTAACTTTGCTAATTCTGAGCTTAATTTATTGTCATCCAAACTACCACTATTGTTGCCGCTGCTTCTTCTTCCAAAGTCTAACTTTGCCAATTCCTAACTTAGTTTATTATCATCGGAGAGATTCAAAGGTACTACCATTACTGCTACTATTACTTCTTCTTCCTTTCTTGATTTCTTTTTTTGTTTTTTTTTTCTTTTAGTCTGATTATCCTTGAAATATGTTTCACTGAATAAGTATTTGTAAAAAATTATAAACTCAAGAAACTTACCCTTCCTTTACTCAATATATACATTATTTATCGTTTATGACTTTTTGTTTTTGGCACCTAATTGTTAATTTTTGATTATATTTGTCTATTGAAAAAACACAATCATTAAATCCCTATAATTTCATTAAATTTTACTTTTAATTTCTATAATTTTTCAGTGTTTTTAGTTTTTATAGTTTTAATAAGATTAGGTTATGTTTGTTTCTTAAGTAGCTCACAATGTTAAATTATATATAGCTATAAGGACTGAAAATATTATAAATAAATTACAGAGATTAAAAGCAAATTTCAACAAAACTATATAAAAATTAATGATTATATTTCCCTTGTCTATTTAATAATTCAATCATTTAATGATTTCTTAATTAGAAAGCAAGTATTATTTGATTAGCAGATGACACTTTTTCCTTTATCTATAACACAAACTTCAATACTTCTTTGATCTTTCTTTGTGTTATTGATTTTCAACTCACAAACTAGAATTTGAGAAATTACGAGAAAATAAGGGTGCCCACAAAACATACACATTTACTGTAATTTTTTTTTTTTGGTAATCACACAAATTGTTCTAGTTTTTAGTTTTACATTGATTTAATAACGATCTGATGCTTTCAAATTGTTGTGCCAAGGTTTAAATATCTTACAATAAAAATCTCAGTTTGATTAAATTGTAATATAATCTGATTTTTTTGCTTTCAAAAGAGTTCTTTTTTTTTTCAAAGGAAAGGGTAACGTTTCGTTAGTATTGCTTTGCTCTTGTTGATAAAAAAAAAAAAAAAGGTTTTGCTATTGCTTTTTTATGAGTTTTGTTTTGTCTTGCAGTGCAGTTAGTTCATTGAAATTTAAAAAATAACTTTTAAAACAATAAAATGCCAGTATATATTTTTTTATAATTTTGAATACTTCTAAAAATCAAGATGTTTATCATTAAAAAATTAAAAGATAAATTTTTATCATCTCCAATTTTGAACATGCATGTAGCTTTTTAATATATATATATATATATATATATCTACATATTATATTCGCCAAAGTGATAAACATAATTTAATAATAGCCGTCGATAACTCTTAAACTTTTAGAAGTATAATTATCTATAAAAAAAATTATTTATACAATAAAATTATTGAAATATCTATCTTTAGATTTATTAAAATAATGTATAATCACGATAAAACAATTAACTAATTAGTTTTTTTTTTAAGATCCATTAACTTGAGAGCATTGATATATTTAAAATATTTATAATAATTATATAATCTCTATAATGATATGATTTTTTTGTTTATCTAATAGTAGTTTGCTAAGATTTACTTTTGTAATTTATTTAATTTAAGAGCTTCGTTTTATATATATATATATATATATATATATATAAGCTAGGAGGCTTTGACCCCAAACTCCGTTGACTGAGCTTAATTTATCGCTCCAAATTTATAAGGTACTCCTTCTTCCTTCCTTCTTTCTTTTAGTTTGATTTTTCTTGGTATACGTTTTATTAAATTAAAATACTATTTAAACAAGTTTAGAGACCCTTTAAACTAAAAAAAAAAAAAAAATCTTTAACATACCTAGGCATAACTTAAATCTGTAAGTTAAGTATTTGAAGGTTTTATAAACTCAAGAATCTACCATTCGTTTACAATATTTATTATTTATAGTTTATGACTTTTTGTGTTACATAATTGTTAATTTTTTTATTATATTTGTCCATTTAATAATTCAAATATATACTCAGTTCAACTTGATTTTTTGATTAGGACGGAAGCATTATTTGATTTGCATATGACACCCTCCTTTATCTAAAACACAAACTTCAATATTCTTTCCGTGTGCCATTAATTTTTAACTCTCAAACAAGAATTTTTAAATTTGTGAGAAAATATATGGGTGCCCACAAAAGAGACGCAGTGATTCAAATTTTAGTTCCGTGATAAAATAAGACCTGATGCTCTCATTCTGTGCCATTACTTACAAATTAATAGCTACAGGACCTTAATCTTTTAAGTTCTAACAGATTCTTTAAAAAAAATTTACATAGAAAATTACACACAATGCATGGAATTCGTTTTTTTTTTTTTTGTTTTGTCTTGTTTTATTCCTTTTTTATTTATTTTGCATTTTTTTTAACGATCTGGAGTTAATATTTCTCTTATTTGGACAGATAGCATAAGGAGTAAATTTCACTGACACCAGAGATTATCTCCTTGACGTACGAAAGGCAAAAAGGAAACCTCTTCCAATTAAATTGCTACATATACAAAGATTAGGATTCAAACCCCCAACCAATTATTTAAGTGACGAGAGTTCTTATAACACACGCCAACTTTAGTTGATTAGCAGCTAATTCCTTTTATTTGAATAGCAATGGAAGAGTATAATCAATTTCTTCAGAATGGATCTCTTTCACATTTCCCTACCAACGAGCTTCTAGAAAACCACCACCTGAATGATGATTCTTTACTGACCAGTCAACCTGCAGAAAATCAAAATTCTCGTAACAACATAGGAGATGATGAAAATAACAATCTCATATCCTTGGATCAATTGGACGCTCAGCTGCAAAGGTTGCGAATAGATTCTGCAATTGAAGGACTACATGGAAATAGTACAAACCAGCAAACCCTAGTTGGAAACTCAAGGATCAGACCAAGTCTTGTTAATCATGAGGTACCATACGGGCATAATAATAATATTATTATTATAAACCATCAAAACCTAGCTGGAAACTCTGGGATTATTGGACCAAGCCATCTGCATGAAGGACAACTTCATGGAAACAATAGAAGCCAACAAGTCCAAGTTCAGAACTTTGGCATTGGACCAAGCCATGAAGGCAACAGTACAAGTCAGCAAACCCTAGCCAGAAACTTTGGTATTGGATCATGGCATGGTTATGATTCTTCTACTTTGGGAAGAATATTGATGAGACAGCATCTATATAATACCATAACATCACTAGAAGCTATGAGGGGAAGGGTGGTTTCAATGTCAAAAGATGAAGATGGGAGTGAATTTTTGGTGAGATTGTTGGATAGGCAGAACCCTGGAGATGTTGAATTCATTTCAAGAGAAGTGATAGATCACTTACATGATCTAATGATGGATCAGTTTGGAAGTCATGTAATTCAAAAGATTTTTGATGTGCTCACCGTGGATCAGACCACCTCATTTTTTGAATCAATCACTCTCAATCTGCTCAAGTTTCAAACTGTTTGCACAAATTGTATCGGGTATGCCATTTTTTTTTAAATCAAACTATACATACCTTTGTTTCATTTTATGACTTATATCACATGAAATTAAATTATTTAAAATTAAAATTATTATTTATTGTAAAATATATAATTTCAACAAAAAAATCACTTAATTTTGATATATTTTATTGTTGTTTTGGCTTTTAATTATTCAATATATTTTTGACTTTTTTTTTTGTTGCAGAAGTAGAGTTATACAGAGCATGATAGATCATTTTACAATACAAAGTCAAATACTTCTCTTTACATATGCTCTGAAGAGAATTGTTGTCCCATTGGCCACTTCCCAATATGGCAGTTATGTCATTCAGCATTTTATTGAACGATGTCCCCCTCCTTTTAAAACGGTAATTAATATTAATACAACTCTTGATCCCTTAATTTTTTTCATATACACTTATTAACATGTATATATATAATTAAAATAAATGTTGTACCTACACTTTCACTATTGAACTGAATAACTCTTCTTATATATATTCAGAATATTTTAGATGTAATGGCATTCGAATGCACTCGAATTGCCACAGACAAAAAAGGTTGTTATGTTCTTCAAAGATGTATATCTTCTACTACGACAGAGTCTTCTCTCTTGTTAATTTGGGCAATTAGCCAGCGTGCATCATTTTTAGCACCACATAAGTATGGGTAAGTGTGTCTTAATTCTTCAACACAACTTTCTATTATTTAATCTCTCATACACACACATAAAAACAAGTTCACTCTTTGACATGAAATAATTAAATAAATATTTGTAAGCAAATTATGTTGTTATTTATATGTCTACAGGAACTATGTGGTGCAATATGTAATTGAGATGAGGATGCCTGGACTTGATGAAGAGATAGTGAATCAACTCAAAGGTAAATATGTTGACTTGTCAATGGACAAGCATGCCAGTAATGTGGTAGAACATCTATTGCGATTCTCAGCTGACAATAATGTAGCAATTATTGTTCATGAGATCATGGCTAGCCCTAGATTTTTGTATCTTCTTCAAGATTCTTACGGCAATTATGTTGCTCAAAGATCCTTAGAATGCTCTACGGTTAGATTCAACTAAATCTCTCTGTCTCAATGTTTTTTATCCCTTAATTAAATCATATTATTGTAGTAATCTTTATATATTGTGTGAATACTAAGTCTTTTGTTTTGGTTTTGCAGGGACCTCTGTATCATACATTGGTGAACAGAATTTTGCAAAATTATAGAAATCTGTGTACTGATCAGTACGGAAAAAAGGTTTTAGAATTCATGTGTGGCAGACGCAGATTTCATCCACAAATTTGAATGATTTTGAAGAAAATGTGCATTGGATGCAAACCTTTAATGTACGGGTGAATTTGTTTTAATTTGTTATTAGTTAGTCATTGTTTTACTTAGGGGGTTATAGATAAGTGTCTTAGTTGGTATTTGTATAGTTTTACTAAATTCTCAGCATAGTTTGTAGATCTTAATTTTTTTTTTTTTTGCCAATAATTTTGGAGCACTTATTATTTGAAATTTATATAACAATTTTTAAAGCTTTTTGATGTCATATATGTTCTTGTTTCACTTTAAAAATATATGTGATAGATGTTCTTGAATTATTTGATATATTAAAACTTGGGAAGCTGATTGATTACAATTGTTGGGATAGTAAGGGTTTGAAAACTTGTCAATAGTGAATGTTCGACCAGATCTCTGATGATGATGATTGCTTAGCATGCAAGTTACAGGCAAAGCTAAGGTTACTTCGCAAAACCATTTGTTTAAAGTTGTGCAAAGAAGAGCACAGTGAGGGATTAAAAGCAATAAAATAATCAGAAAAGTAGAAACAAAACCATTTGTTTAAAGCAAACTAATAGGTTCAGTCAATAATTGAAGTTGATCCGAACATCATAAATCCTTGGAATTAAGCAGTAAAATAGTTGAATACCTGAAAAGCACATTATGATCCGTTCTGCTTCATTCTGCAAACATGACGGCACTGAAATTGGACTTTCAAGGTCAGATTAAGAGAAGACAACCCACACCACTAGAACCTTCAAAGCGGGAGGTCAGCACCTTAGATCCACAACAGGTTTCTTCTTGTTCAAAGTAATGCCTTTCTGCATAATTAATACATAACATATATCCCAAAAATATTTATTTAAAATGAAAAAATGCCATCATGATACAGTTAGCTATAATCATTGATTTCACCTACCCAATATAAAGTTCTTTTTTGTCAGCCTTATTGCACAACATATAGGGGTCACAATTAACTCAGGCAATGATACACACACACACACACACACAAATACATAGATTCATCTATGAGCATACTGAACTGTACTGGTATATAGATTCACTGCAGGACTAGATCATAAAATTTCATTGAGTTTGGAGCCATTGGTTGCTGTGTTAGTCCTTTTATTCCTTAGTTATACACTGTGCCACCTTATCTCCCACATTCAGGCTCCACATCTATCTTTCTCTCTTTTCACTTCATTTGCAGTACACTTAAAAATTAATGTCGACTTTGACTCCATGGAAGCTTCGTCGATCATTCAGCACAATTTCACTGGAAGACACGCCCTATTCAGGAGCTATCACAAAGAACAGGGATTTTGTTATGAGAGACTGGATGATCCTCTTCAATTATGTATATAGAGAAGCTAAGAAGTGTGTTGATCTGCTCGCCACCAACCTTCTCGCGACAACTTAGATATCACTACCTTCAATACACCCACTTTATGTGGAAACCTTATGGTTTCTAACATGACCTAATTTGTTTTGTCTTATTTCAAGGTCTTTCTGTGGTCTTGTATTTAAAAAAAAAAAAAAAGCGCCAAAAGACATATACACGCGAGAAAGTTTGGTCCAGTGACATCATATAAACAGAGCTATATTGACCAAAGTTCTCAAGAATTCTAATAACTTGCTGTCATGCATAGTTTAGATCATTAGGGTCATGTTTGGAATGACAGGAGGTCGAGGAAATGTGGCCATGTGGGTGCAGTTTTAATAAAGCTAATATCTTCATAGGATAAAATATTCTAAAGAAACAAGCATAATAACCTTAATGGGTGTGATTATCAAATATTTTTGTTGGATGCAATTGATATCATTGCAGTTGAGCTCATCTTTAACCAGTAGAAAATGAATAAAATACACTCAATAAATCCATGAACCAGAACTACCAATTTCCAACAAATATCTCTTGGGTGTTTGTAAATTAAGAAGAGCATGAGTTAGGTATGTGTCAAATGTAGAGACAACATAAAGACAACCAAAAATCAATTGCCAAATCCAGCTCATGATACAGCAATATGAATGTATTAGCATCCTTAAGGGAAAAAAGGTTTATAGCATTAAATACATCACACCCCAAATAAGCCCTCATTTGAAAGGGAAGCATGGATGGCCAAAACAAGAAATTGAACTCATTGAATAAACTATACAAAATGAGGGTCCTTATAGCAACACGAATTGGATTATTTTAGGGAACGCAAAAGACAAAGAGGTGAATGTGATGCAAATTTGAGGAGCTGAACAAGGGTTTTACAGTACGATTAAGAATTAAGAAGGTGAAGTTGAGAGTAGGTGGGAATAAAGAGAGAAAGATACCTCACTGAAGTGATGATGAGCAAGCTGAGTGAGCGGTGAGAGATGCCGGGTGAGAAGCGAAAGCACAAGAAAGGGAGCACTGCAAGACCCTAGATTTGATTTTTTTTTTTTTAATTTTAAATCATCTAATTTGCTGGGGAGAATTTTATTAACCCATGATGTAATTAAATCAGTCTCAGTAAATTTTGAAATTACACTATTGAATTAAAGGATTTAATTGAAATTACATTTTGTGAAAAAATTATTAAAACTCTCTCCAATTAAATTTTTGTAACACAAATAAAGTCTCAAATAAGTAACATTATTAAAATAATAAATTAAATTATAGTTTTGACAACTCCACTTTAGATTAGTTATAAAATAATATTGAATATGGAAAATGCATATATACTATGACAAGTTTTTTTATTGAGCTAACAATTGAAATTACTCAAATAGTAAGTCAAGTTACAATTTTAACAAATGTACTTTATGTTGTAACAAAATAAGATTGAATGAGCAAAATATGTTGTTAACAATTTTTTTTATTGAACTTACAAATAATGTTACAAAAATAAAAAGTCAAGTTAAAGTTTTAATAAGTTTGCCTCATGTTATTACAAAATAATATTGAATATGTAAAATGTTTACTTTAACAAGTTCTTTTATTGAATTAACAAGTAATTTTATCAAAATAACAAGTCAAGTTAAAAAAATTTAATTGAGGTTATTTTAGTTATTTTCTTATAAAAATGTAATTTTAATTTAATCCTTTGATTCTAGAGTGTAATTTTACAATTGTTGGGGACTTCTTGGGAATAAAGTCACATCTCTAGCCCTATAATGAAATTCTCCCTAATTCATATATGGTGTTTGTTTTTTTTTTTTTTTTGAACTTTTGGAAATTCTCTACAAAAACATGTATCATTCTTTCGGGGGAAAAAAGATTAGCACTCTCCAAATTGAATTCTTGCGTTTGTTTTTTCAAGAGGGCCAGTATCAACTTGGCCCACATATAACGTCTAAACTACTCAAATTTCCTAATGAAGATTTGCAGTAAAGTGGATTAGCAATTATAATCAATTATATCCATGACTTCATTCCACATGTAGCTAATTATACTAGCCAGTTTTCTAAATTGCTAGAAAAGAATCCATCACCTTGGAGGACAAGTCAAACAAAAGCAATTCAATACTTAAAAAAAACTACCCAACACTCACCACCACTTAAAATTCTAGACAATAGACAAAGAATCTTGCATGTTGATGCAAATGAAAATTTATAGGGAGTGTGCTCATTGAGGAAGTAGATGGGAAAAGACAGTATTGCATTGTAGATATGCTAATGGAGAATTTAAAGAATATATCAGAGAAGCATTATCATGCAACCTATAAAAAAGTCTTAGGTGTAAAAAAAAAGAGGTATCAAAAAATTCAGCTTTGTGCATGTGTACATGATCATGCATTGATTGATTGTTTTATAATATGCTTAAGTAATTTGATATGTTGTTTGCAAACATGCCCATTTTACATTATCATAATTGTTATATCTTGCATGGGATTAAATTGGTTATCCATTGAGATTTCATTCTCACCTCCTCAAATAACATTTTACAGGTGAAAGCCTTGTTAGGAGGAAATGGGAGGCTTATAAGGCCAAAGATCAGTAGGCTATTTAGTAATGCCTTTCCACTTTTTTTGTGTAATGGATAGCTTATTGCCAACTAGAAATTGATTACGATTCATTGCATGTATACATGAATGAATTGGTAATTTTGTTGCATTTTGGTCATTATGCGAGTTTCAGTTTGTTCACAATTTGACTTTTGGTTGACCAAAATACTTATGTAATTATGTTTTGAATTATATAATTATAATTTTAAGCTTGATGTGATGATTTATGAATTGTAGTTAAAAAAGGTTACTTTCCACCCTTTGAAATTATGGTTGTCACATGGTCAATCTGGTTATCATGATGATTAATGGTGGAGCCAAAACCCTAAGATTAGGGTGTAATATATTTTCTAAAAAGAAATAATTATATAAAAATTGTACAAATATATATGTCTTATTACTTAAAATGTTGTGTGGTAAATATTCTCCATATCTTATATTCATCACAATTTATTATGATTGAAGATTAGATATGTAACATCTCAAAATTTATTTAAGAGTTAATTAAATTAATTAAGTAGTTTAATTAGTTTAATTAAGGTAATTAAGAGATAATTAGGGAGTTGGATAATCTTTTGGGTTAATTGGACCTTATATGAGGCTTAACATAGGGCTTAGGAAGCTTTTGGGCCACCTTGGGTCCAAATTATTAGACTTTAAGTAAGGCTGTCCATTTTGAGTCATCCTCCACGATGGATGATACAATGCACTATGGTAGATGTAATGAGACTTTAAATCTTAAATCTGCATTCAAGTAGAAGAACAAAGAGAGTTTGGATGAGGGTTTTGGAGTAGAGGTGATGATGTTGTGCTAGGGTTCCATTTTGGCACTCATTTGGAGTGTTTTGAGGCTTCCAAATTATTGGGTAAATCTTTTATGCTCTTCTCCTACCCTTATTTGTGCATTTTCTACAAGTTTATAAATTAGGGACTGAAGGTCCAAACCTAGGATCAAGTTTTAGCTAATGAGGCATTCTTGTGCAACCAATCTCTGCAACTTAGAACCAAATTGAGAGAAAGATGAGTGACTTTGTGTGAGATGATTTGAAATCTCAAAGGAAGATGAGAGGAGATGTGTGATCAAGCTCTAATTGAGTGAGAGATGAGTGCTTGTGTCTAATGTTTTGTGTGATCGAGAAGACAATAAACGATCCTTTGAGTTGAGTCTGAACTAAGAAGATGATGATGTTCGCTAGTTCTCCAAACTTAAATGTAATTTAAAAATAATAAAAAGACTAGATTTCCCCGAATCCCTTAAAAACACAAAGCAAATAAAATTAAATTAATCTAATAAAATTGAATCAAATAAAATCTTGAAAATAAGAATAAAATTTTCCCAAGTAATAAAATGTGGCAAAGAATTGAAATTTCAGATTAAAAATAAGTAATTTCGATAAAATTTGCAAAATGATCAAAATGCTCTTAATATCAAAACTCAATGTAAATGAGCCAATGATCAAATTCAATGCTAAAATAATGTATATAAGGGTCTAAATAAATAAAATATGATAAAAAAAATGAAAGAAAAGTGTGTAAAATATGTGATTTATCAATGACAGAAAAATAGTTGGACCTAGTTAAAGATGTCTTGCACTTGAGGAGACGTTGCATCTGATTATAGAATTTTGTCTTTCATGATATCTTGCATCTATGAAAGAAATTTGCAAGTGATAAGAGAGTTTTGGATATGATGAAAGGAATTTAAAACTATGGGCATTTTTGCCATATCATTTGTGCCTTAAAAGACTTGGGTCCTCGAAATGAATTTAGGTACTTTAGGTCAAAGAACTTTTTAATGGGAGATTTGTTACAAATTTCTCCATTGTTTAATTTTTTTATCAATAAAAAATGATTAATTTTCTATTTCATGTATGTGTAAATATATTATATTATATTATATTATATTATATTAAAGAGAATAACAAAAAAGTTCCATCAAAATAAGCAAATGACAAAAGAGTACAACGAAATTTTTTTTTTAAAAAAGAGTACAACAAAATAAGATAATAACTTTAAAATTTTTAGGGACTTCTCTAACGTAAATAATTTTTAAAATTATATTTTTGATCTTCTACATAGAAAGTGTAGGTGCTAAAACCTAAATTGAAGTTGTTAACCACGAAAGTAAAATTATTAACATAGAAAGCCAAATCGTGTAAGGTTATTGCATAAACTGACGTTTTGGATAGCTATGTTATTAATACATAAATTAAAGTTGAATGAGCTAAAGTTATTAAAATAGGAAACGTTCTTGTTATTGCATAATCAAAGTAATAATCATGCTTCCTATATTACCAAATTTACTTTAGTTTTTAGCAACTATACTTTCCACTAAGGGTGGTTAATGTGTAGATATGCCCCAAAGTTTTCAAGCAGGCTCAATCAATATCTTGAAATATTTTTTGCCACAATATCACCTCAACATTTTTCAAAACGGTACAATTTTTCCTTGACTTGACAGATCGAAATGGTTGACCATTAGTTATCTCAGGTGGCATTTTTCCTTGACTTGACAGATCGAAATGGTTGACCATTAGTTATCTCAAATATGTTTAGGTGGCATGCCCACATTGCAAACACCTTATTATTTCTTTTTTTTTTCATTAAAACTTTGCTTGGTTGGAAGAAAACAACAAGCATGGAAGAAGGTGGACTTTGCCTTCTTCATCTTCGCTCTTTATTCTTCATCCACCTTACCTTCTTGTTCATCTTCTTTAGTTTGTTAGACAAATCCTCTAAGCAAGCATATTCATTTTACACAACTAAGCAAGCATCTCAACTTCCTCATCTTCTTTGTAAATAAGATTCCAAAAAAACAAACATAAAAAATTCCATAAAATAGCAATAGTTCATAAATTGCAAAATTCTTGAAATTAGAAAATAGTAAGGGAGAGTAGGTCCTCCTTGACCATCACATTGACTTGAATGTTTGAACTGAGGATGGGGTAACTTTTCTTGACATCTTGAGAACCCTAACTTGTAATTTTTTGTTCAAATAAGCCACCCCTAGACTTGCCTATATTGAACCAAATAAATTGAGGCTATGCTTGGAGCTTGGTTCAATCTGTGGCTCTTGTGCTGTCACGTGAGGAAGACATCACGAATCCTCCATCTCCAATAACATGTGGTATGCCACTTCAGCACTTCACACTCACACAAACAGCCAACATCTAGATTTGTTAACAGAGGGCAAAATTATATCATGTTGAAAAATGTTAGGGTGGCGTTGTGTGAAAAAATACTTTAAGATATTAATGCGCTTATATGAAAATTTCAAGGGCAGATTTACATATTGACCCTTCTATAATTTTACTTAATTTTATTGACGCCATATGAGTCCCTAATAATTTCAAAGTAATTTTTCATTTCACAGTGCTCTTCTATCATTTACCTATTTTAGTGAAATTTATTTGTTATTTTTCATTC